GACGAAACGTTTCTACAATTTTATTTATTTATTTTATTGAATGTACAGAGAACCAGATTTAACTTTTTTTAGATATGTCTTAGAATGTTAACTCTGCCCATGAATCATATGTTTGGGTTAGTAGAAAGCTGGATGAGGAGCTGGGTGAGGCTGCTATGTGCAGCTATCGCTTCAAGGACACCTCAGAGTCTGTGAGCTCAGACGAACTGATAAGTGTCTAAAAACAAGCTGCACACACTGCTCATGGCAGATTCTTGTGACTAGTCTTCATGTGTACTTCCTGTATATTTGTGTGTGCTTCTTGTATATTTTTGTGTACTTCCGGTATATCTGTGTAACCTGTCCTGAAAATCTGACCTGGCAAGTAAAAACCTGTTAAAAATCTTCTGTCGTCGAGGGTGGCTCCTTTTGAGTAAGTGAGATGGGGGTCGAGATGGTCTAGAGGCAGGGCAGCCAGCTCGGGACCCGAAAGTCCCAGGTTCAATCCCTGGTCATTGCACACCTTGTGGTGTCTCTGGGCAGCACACCTTATCCCCAAAATGCCCCCCCGGCGCTTTCAATAGCTGCCCACTGCACCACCTGGTGGTGGATGGGTTAAATGCAGAGACTATTTTCACCATTGTATGGAAACATACAGTGATGACAATGTGATGACATTATTATTATTATTATTATAAAGTGAAAATATTTTTCTCTAACACTTACGACATCAAAACATTAAATGGATGTAAAATATTTCATCTTAGTTCAGTTGTTTTGCTTTGTTATTTTACTCAACAAGTTGTGTATTATTAACTGGTGGCATATTTTTTGTTAATAATATACAGTAGTATTTTCCAGTTCAAGTCAAGTCAGTTTGAATGTGGTGACAGTTTTGTGGCTTTGCTTCTGTTTCCAGTGGGTGCAGTTGTTGTTTCTCAATGAATAAGTTTGTTTTTTAACTAGCACATTAACTGATATGTTGGTTATTCTGGAAAAAAAAAACCACACACAACAACTACTAAATAGAGGCAAAATAATACATAAAACGGCTTCTAAGAGCCTCAAATATAATAATTATAGATATATAACAATTGAGCATAAAAGGACAAATGACATGTTTATATGTGATTATGCTGTTTGATTTTTATTGTTTTTGACATTTTATTTTACTTTTTGTCAATCCTCTGTATTTCCTTGTGAACACAATAAAATAATAAATGTAAAAAATGTGAACAGTTTGCTGTTTCTTAACTGGACTTTGTGTCAACATTCTCTCAATTCCATCTGAGTGTAAAACATTATTTTTAACAGGATTATTTTGATTTTATTGTTTCTGGGTAAAAACATGAAAACATAAAAATGTTTTAACTAGTTGTTATATATCGTCCACCAGGCGCTTACTCTCAGTTTTTGTCTGAATTCTCAGAATTATTAACTGACTTATTATTAAATACTGATAAAATCATCATTGTGGGTGATTTCAATGTTCATGTGGATGTTGAGAGTGGTAGTTTAATCATAGCCTTTAATTATTTCATAGACTCATTTGGTTTTACACAAAATGTCCGCACATCTACTCGTTCTTATCATCACACTCTTGATTTAGTTCTGACCTATGGTATAGAGATTAAGGACTTGGTAATAGTTCCTCAAAATCCTTTTCTGTCCGACCATTTTTTAACAACATTTGAGTTTACATTAAATGACTACACAGTCACTGAGAGTAAATTTCATCTCAGCAGGTGCTTATCAGAAAATGCTGTAACCAAATTTAAACAATCTCTTCCATCAATGTTTTCCTCTGTCTTGCAGAGTAATGAATCAGAGAACAGTGACTTAGATCATCTAGTTGATCATCTTACAACTTCAATGCAAACTTCACTTGATAAAATTGCTCCACTGAAAAAAGAAAGTAATCATCAAATGTGTAATATTGAATCATTTTCCTCAATAAATAAATGACCAAACATACTATTTTTGTCTCACTTGTTTACTTGTGTGAAAATCTGATGGTTTAGGTAATTTTTATACAGAATCATAGCAAATTATAAAGAATTCACAAACTTTCAACCACCACATAGATGTACATTCATTGATTACTTTTTGCAAGTTTTATTAAACTTTGTTCAGGATTATTTCGCTAACAGGCCCAGCCTGCTGTTCACCTTTCAGCCGGCGGGCTGTAATTAGGGACGCGTTGAAACTTTGTTCTGTTCTTAAATGGACATGAATGACTTCCGTCTGGTCATTGTATTATAAACGTCGGCCTGATGGAGTGCTGCATAATGACAGTTCCTCTGTAATTCTCTCCCTCTTCCTCGTGGATCTCATTCAAAGAAGTGATTATCTTTTTGGTTCCTTGTCTGATTAAAAGCTATTTTTAATTATACGATTCATCTGTGGAGGTCCACAAGGTCTGCTTCGTCCATTATAGACCGGTCATTTTGTGCACTTTAAAAGCAGCAGAAATATTCTTCTTTCTTTGCCAAGACTGAACTTTTACAGATCTTTTACAGTTTCTCAGCCTCCTGGACTTTTCACTCTGATGTAAAGAAAGATCATAAACAAGCCAGTGCTTCATTCAATACGCTCGATAAATTCAATTAGGATCCTGACCAGTTATAAAGTTTAGACATTAACACTGACTATAGGTCTCCTTCCTTTTATAGTTATGACTTTTAATGTTTTGTTTTTATTAATTTAAGAAAATACAACAAAAACCAATCTGATCAATGCCACTGTGAAATCACGTGTGAACATGCATGAAAGAAAATAGAAAATATATTGAATATATGAACATTTCTGTAGAAGTTAAAGATTTTGATGCACGTGACTCTTCAAGGTTTGATGTTTTTTTTACTTTTTAGATGTTTTTGAAGGTTTGAGTACCTTCAGCTGTTGGGACGAGCTGAGAAAGAGAAAACTTTGAGCTGAATTGTTCTGACAGTGTGGGAGCTCTTTCCTTGACCTGCTTGTCTAACCTTTTTCACAAAGCATTGCATCTGAATGGAGCTGAAAAACCAGGTTCACAACATATTATTAGGCATCAAAAAATGGCACACCGACTGATCACAACATATATTTCTAACGTGCCTTTTCTGTGTGAGCCGCGGTGAGGTCAAACAGATACGAACTCAGACATAAAGTCTATGTTCTGCTTTAAACGGCACCGATTTGTTCAGGGCAGCACACAGATCAAATCAAAGCATGCATCTCTTTCAGATAATGCTTTAAAGGCTGGCGTTTCTTTCTTTACTGTTTAGCTGAAGACATGTCAATTTAAATCTGCCCGAACAGCATTTTTTCAGGGCTGCAGAGGTGACCTTTTAGGGTGGCATTTGGAAATTAATTCCCCTCGAGCAGCACTGGCCTTCAAACACAGTCCATCCTTCAGTTTCTCAGAAACCTTTACTTTTGTTTCTCTTTTCCTATAACAGTTTATTTATTCCAAATGCTGGATGTCTTATTGTGCTATGTCAGATACATTTGAACTGATAAAACATCAGATGAGTTTATCCGAACAGTGAGGGAACAGCAATTTGTACTTTGTACTGGTAATCCCCATGTCTATACGGCAAAGCATGAGAATATATTTTGCACGCATGTATTGTGTGCAGTCGTCTGCCGTGCTAGAAAAATACTAAATGAATCACTGAGGAGAATTTACTGAAACTCAGAAAGTATTCATTAGATGTGCATCTACAACTGATGTTCGGAGTGAACCTAATTCAAGATGGCTGGTACAGCTAATGAACAACTGACCAGCTTAATTTGCCCCAGCTTTCCCTTTTTGATCTCCATCTATGGCCAGCGCACTCAATTTTCTCAGATTGCAGCAGCACATTTCCATCCAG